ATTCGGATTCTCTTCATATTCTTCGACCCTCTTTTTTCTCTATAAATAGAGGTCATATCTCCCCTTTTTTCAATCATCAATTCTTATTCTTTTTAATTCTTTCTTCTCACCAATATTAAGTTTGTGTTGTAGGTAAGCACTGCTAGAGAAGCTTGGGTTCAGCTTTGAAAAACGATTTTCTATGCCTAATGGATCTAGAAAATATAAACTAAACAAAGATTTTTACAATTTAAAACAAAACAATAGCACCATCAATGCTTATTATACTAGCATGACTAGTTTGTGGGAGGAAATTAATGTTATGAATGTTTTGCCAGTTGTGTCTGAGTCTAATGCTAAGATTAGAACTTTGTTGAATGCTATTTCCAAATATCAAGAAGAACACAGGTTACTTCAATTACTGAATGGTTTGGGTGAGCATTTTGGGCCTATAAGAAGCTAACTGCTCATGCTCACTCCATTACCAACTGTGGAGTCAGCTTGTTCAATGCTCCAACAGGAGGAGAGTCAAAGAGAAGTGTTGCTCGTGACTAAAAATGACCTTGATATTTTAGTTATGTATAGCAGGAATTCTAGTAATCATGGAAATCTAGGTTATGCAAATCCTTCTATTACAGCTGATAAGTTCCAAACTAGGGGTATACCTTATGTTTTCCTAGGGTACCCAACGACTCAGAAAGGGTATAGGTTACTTGATATATAGACAAAGAAAATTTTTTTTTCCAGAGATGTGACCTTCCATGAGACAATATTTCCTTTTTAGTTGTCATCTCTTAATCATTATATGAAGCCAATTCCCCTAGTTCTTACCCAAAGAACCAACTTCAATACTGCTTATATTGATGAAGTTGATGAGTCTGAACCTGTTATTGATACTACAGAACATACAAAACAAGAAAACCTCTTTGAAACTCCATCCTCTCCTTCTTCTCCTTAGCATTCTTCACTTCATTCTCTTAATGTTAATAACCAAGTATTTGATACTGTGATTGTTCCCAGACAAAGCACTAGACTATCAAGGGCACCAGCCTAAATGAAGATTATATTGAACCTAAGAAGAAATTTAATAGACATATTTCTAATTTGGCATTTCAAGATATTGCTCATGATTTTCATTGTTTCATGACAACTCTTGAGAAATATTAGGACCCTCTTTTTAACAAACATGTTGTAACTGAGCAACACTGGATTGATGCAATTAACCAAGAATTGGACCAATGTGAGAAAAATGGGACTTGGACAGCCACTCCTATTCCCCCAAGAAAAAAAAGTCATAGGATGCAAATGTATTTTTAAAACAAAGTACAAATCCAATGGTATTATTGAAAAACACAAATCAAGAATTTTTGCATTGGGAAACATGCAACAATATGGACTAGGTTATGGTGCAACCTTTGCTCCTGTTGCCAAAATGACTACTGTTAGAGCTCTTCTGGCAGATGCTGTTATGCAGGGTTGGTTGATATTTCAAATAGATGTCACTAATGCTTTCTTACATGGTGAATTAGATGAAGATGTCTATAAGTCTCTCCCTCAAGGCTATACTAGTCATGGAAGCAGAATAATAGTTGATCCTCAAGGGAAATCACCTGTTAAAGATTCACAGCTTGTGCGCAAACTTAACAAGTCTTTGTATGGTCTTAAACAAGCTCCCATGCAATGGTTTGTAAAGCTTCCACCTCTTATCTCTTTTGGCTATACTCAGTCTAAGTTTGACTATAGTTTGTTCACTAAATCTCAAGGAAATTCTATTGCTTCTGTATTGGTGTATGTTGATGATTTACTCATCACAGGAAATGATACCAATGAAATCAAGATCCTTAAGCAACTTCTGTCTTCTCATTTTCATATGAAGGATATGGGAAACTTGAGATATTTTTTGGGGCTGGAAATTGATCATACAGATTAGGGTATCTTTGTTTCTCAGAGAAAATATATAATTGACTTGTTGAAGGAGCAGGGAATGCTTAATGTTAAGCATCTCAAAGTTCTCATAGATTCTCATCTCAAACTGTGTGCTGATAAAGGCACTCCTCTGCTTAATCCAGTTGTGTATCGAAAATTGCTTGACAAATTGATATATTTAACTGTTACCAAGCCAAATATTTCATTTACAGTTCATTTGCTAAGCCAATTCATGCATTCTCCTACCTCAAATCATCTATAGGCATTTCATTCTTCTAATCATGAATTGTGTGAGAACTCCTAAATTCTCGCTGAAAATTAATGGCTCTATGCATGTTTTTTTCAATGCAAAAAGGGGACTTAGGCAAGGAGATCCCCTTTCTCCTCTTCTTTTTGTTCTTTTCATTGAATACTTGTCTAGAACTTTGAAGATAATGAGCAACAAGTCCAATTTCAAGTTTCACCCAAGATGTAAGGCTGCTGGTCTCACTCATCTTTGTTTTGCTAATGATTTTATTCTCTGCTGCAGAGGTGAGGTTAATTCAGTGAAATCGTTGATGAAGGGCTTTAGTGCATTTTCTAAGGCTACTGATTTACAGGCACTACACCAAAAACTAGATTAGAGATCGCAAAGTATAGAACGGTTACCAAAGGTAGGCGTTCTCCAGAAGAATATAGAACGTATATATATTAGAGGCGTTTTGTATGTTAATACATATAAAACGGTTAGCATAGTTAACCGTTCTCTATTTCTAAAAAGGGAAAATATGCCTTTTCAATGTAGAACGCTCCTCACGCAACCGTTCTATTTTACCCCATATTTTACCATTAGCCGTATTAAAAAAAAGTACAAGTATAAACCCTAACAACACTCTTTTTTGAGTTTTTCTAACTGAACCGCCGCCCATGTTTTCTCTCTCATCCTCTTGCTAAAATTTTCCTCTCTCCCTTCCTTCCATAGATATAGTTGGCTCTAACTTCTTCTCGCAGACCAAATTCTCAAATCCAATTCAATTAAAATAAACATCCAATATTTTCAGAGTTAATTTTAGATTCAAAATTGGAGAAGTTGATGAACACCCACCAATAAGAAACCCCGACGTACTGCGCATAAGGGTGCAAATCTTTCGGAATAGCAGCGACAATAAATATGTGTTAAGTTTACCACCGTCTCAAGGAGGACAAATTTGTCACCGTTCAAGCATGTAATGAAGCATGAATCAGAAAATGATAAACTGAAACAAAAGCCCAATGAAGCAATGCATGTAATCGAAACAGATGGTGATAATAATCCATTGTTGAGGTAATATACACATATGAGCAATAATAAAATTTTAATTAAATTTTAGGTCTGAAATTTAAGTTTTGTTTTTATTCACATAAATTCTCTCTAATTGTAGTTTGAATATTTGAAGATTAAAGTCTCTTGTTAGTTCATTTTAGAACTGGATTTAATTCTGTAAGTACTGGCTAATTATTTAAAGTTTATAAGGTTTAAACCTTTTATATTGCATGTTCTAGATTATTGAATTTATTTGTATAGTTCAATTTTTAGATCTAATTATACTATTATTGGTGCAGGAACACTTAATTTATAAAGATTTGAAGTGGAAAAAGCTCTTCAATACGAAGGAGATAAATTAATTTCAATAGAAGTTGAGTTGGTATATCATTTAATTTTGGAGCTATGGACAATGGACTTATGGAGTGGGAATGAATGTATCTATTAATTTATACTACTACTTGAATTAGTTTTTGTATGTCAGATTTTTTGGTTTATGATTTTCAAATCTGTGAATTGTATTATACTTTGTGTGAGTATATGATTATTGAGTTGGTTTTAATTCATCAATTTAAATTTCGTAATTTGAATTTTTTTTATAAATTCCATACGTATAACATTGTAATACGGCGTACAACTGTATAATATTTGTATAGAAAATACCACAGAAATACAGCGAGAAAGTGACGGATAATTTTTTTTTTTAATTTAGAAAATACACATTAGAGAACGGTTATCTTACATGACCGTTCTCTTTTGCATTGAAATATAGTACGGTTAAGCAGCCTACCCATTTTGTTTTCCTTTATTATTTTTCAAATTTAAGAAGGGAAAAGAGAACGGTTATGGCTATGAACCGTTCTCTATCTTACAGTATATAAAACGCCTATTTGAAGCGTTCTATATACTTTACACATCGCTTAGCAGAAGAACGGTTCTAAGACGTTCTATAAGGCCTATTTTAATAGTTCTATAAGCCCTTTTTTGTAGTAGTGAGGCTAGCCCTGAGAAAACATTTGTGTATTGTGCTGGTATGAATGATGCAATTATTCAGGAGATTTTGAGCATGACAGGTTTTAGCAAGGGTGCCTTTCCTTTTAGATATTTAGGAGTGCCTATTTGTTCGAAAAGGTTGACTGCTATTGATTGCGAACATCTTGTTGACAAGATGCGTGCAAGGATTAGAATTTGGGGTTCTAAACATATGTCCTTTGCTGCTAGAGCAATTTTAGTGAATGTTGTGTTGATGAGTATTCAGGTTTACTGGGCTCAAATTATGTCTACCAAAAGCTGTTTTTGAGAAAATGAATGAGATATGCGAAAAATTTCATTGGCATGGGAGTCTACAGCAAAAACCAGGTTATGTTGTTTGGGATAAAGTGTGCAGAAAGAAATTAGAAGGGGGCATGGGTATGAAGGATGCTGAAATCTGAAATCTGGCAACTGTAGGGAAACATTTTTGGGCTATAGCTTAGAGGAAAGAAAACTTATGGGTGAAATGGGTTAATGTGATGTACTTTAAAGGGAGAAACTGGTATACTTACCATCCTAGTTTGGATACTAATTAGTAATGAGAAAGATCTGTAGTATCAGGGATAAGCTTTAGAGTATTCACCCTGTTAGCTCTTTTGGGCAAGGAAACTACAAGATTAGCAAGGTGTATAAAGAGATGATGACTGATGCTACAAGGTGTAGATGGGATAAGCTGATCTAGGAAAGAATAGTTGTGCCCAAGCATCATTTTATAGCTTAGCTAGCCATTCAGGGTAAATTGTTAAGCAAAGACAGATTGCAGAAGTTTGGTATATCTAGTTTTGCTGAGTGTCTGCTTTGTGGGACACAAGATGAGTCTCATGTTCACTTGTTTTTTGGATCCTAGTACAGCAGAAGAATATGGGAAGACATTAGTAGCTGGATTGGTATTTCTGGTAGAGATTACAGCTTACAGAATGCTGCTAGAAGAACTAGAAATTATAAAACTACTTTCAAGCAATGTCTACTTAGAGCTTGTATTTTGGCAGTGGTGTATTGGATTTGGAAGGCTAGGAATGTGGCTCTTTAGAGCTAAAAAATTCTGTGTATTCACACAATTGTAAAAAATATCAAAGAAGAAGTTAGGAATAGAATGTTAAATGTAAATTCAAAGAAAATACATAGTGTAGATAAGGATTGGTTACAAGAGCAAATTATATAGGCTTGTTCTTGTTTGTTTTTTCTTTCAAGCAATTTGTTCTACCAGTTAGGTTGTTCCCGTTTTGGGACTAGTTTGTAAATATGATTTTGAGCTATAAATTTTACTTACCACAAAAAAAAAAAAAAAAAAAAAAAAAAAAAAAAAAAAAAAAACCTCATCTGTAGGCTGCCAAGAGACTCCTTAGATATCTTGCTGTCAGAAGATCATCTCAGGGTATACTTTTAGCTTCTTCATCTGCACCTCAACTAACTTCCTTTTGTGACAGTGATTGGGAAAGTTATCCAACTTCTCAAAGATCAACAACTAGTTACTGTATTTTACTTGGCAAGTCTCTAATTTCGATTCCTAGAAGCCAAGAAACAGAAAGTGGTTGCTAAATCCTCTACTGAGGCATAATATAGAGCTATGGCTCTAACAGCTTGTGAGGTTACCTGACTTAAATCTTTTCTCAAGGATCTGGGTATTACTTATCTTGGTCCTACATTACTCAACTGTGATAATCAAGCTGCAATTGCTATTGCAGCTAATCCTGTACTGCATTAAAGAACTAGGCACATAGAAATCGATTGTCCCTATGTTCAAGATATGGTAAAGTCTGGTGAACTTATTCAATCATATGTTTCTTCCAAGAATCAACTTGCTAATATTCTGACTAAGGGTCTATCTGTCAAGCAACATCAAGATATTCTTCTCACGCTTGGTGCTAGTTCTTCCTCTTCTAGCACTCAGCTTGAAGGGGGGTATTAAGGCAGGGGTAACTTAGGGGTTGTTTGGTAAGTAGTTTTTTGTATAGATTTTGGCTTTTAGCTTTTGAAAGTGGTCAAACAGCCAAAATTTGTTGTTTGGTTAATTGGGTTTTTGGTTGGTTAAAAAGCCAGCTTTAACGCCAAAAGCCAAAAGCCAAAAGCTAGTGATAGTAGCTTTTTTGGATTGACTTTTGGCTGAAATGATAACAAATAAAATTTTTTCCCTTTATTACTTTATCATCTCAATTTCCTTTCTCTCTCCTAAAACAAAAAAAAACCCACTATACTACTACTATACTACAGAGTGAATTTGGGAGAAGTTGGGGTGAACGTATCACCACTAGAGCAGCGGGAGCGGCGGTGCATAGATTTATCAAGCTCTGGCATCTGCTATACGGTAACTTTTTTTTTGGTTATTAAGTTTTTTAATAGATCTGTAGAAAATGCCCATTTAATTTGGTGAAATTTGATGTAGAATTTACCATTAAGCTCTTCAATTATCTTTTAATTAGGGAAGAATTTAATAAGAAGCCTTATTGGTTAGTTAAAACAAAATTGTTGAGATCTCAATTTGCAGATGTATGGGTTTTAATTTGCTTTTTATAATTTTTTTTTTAAAAAAAAACAATCTCATTAAAAAAGTGAGATCCCAACTAGCTTAATGCATGAGCAAAATGAAGAGGAAGCAAAATGACGTCTTTATTAGTGTTTTCTCCTTAGATTTACTACTATAACCCTGTTCACCCAAAATTTAATTATACAAAATTAAATTGTACAACAGTTGCTAACATGTATTAGAACATTGAATTTGCAATTTACATCTTTTAGGAATGAATTTGCTATTTACATCTTTCATATGTCCTGTCCCTGTGAGTATATAATTTTAAAAGTTTGAGTTTTAAACTTGTTATTCTAAACTTTAATTATCTTGTTATATGTAGTTGTTATTTACATCTTTCGTATCACGGTTTGGTTTTTCATTATACTATGTAATATATAAGTTGAAATAGCCGTGTAATAATGTTTTTACTTGTTTAGATGGCCCCAAAGAAAAACAAAAGTAATCACATTGAGGAGAGAAAATAAATGATGGAGAAATCCAAAATTTGGTGAATGTAATTAAATCGAATAGCTTGGTCTAATGAATTAATCCATAAAATTTTTGACATTTGTATTAAAAACACATTGTGGAGTAAAGGAAAAATGGTGCTATTACTCCACATAAGTTTTTGTGGAAAAAAGTGGTAGAAAATTGGGAAAATACCACAAACTTAGCATGGGATAAAGGCTGGCTTAAAATTAAATTAGATGGAATGAGGCCTAAATGGGTACTTTGGAAACAATTGAAATCGAAGGAAACCTGCTTAGGGTGGGATCATGAGAAAGGAACGGTGGCCGGAAAGTGATGAGTGGTGGGCTTTAAAAATAAAGGTTATTTTTTTAATGTTATTATAGGAGTGTTGTTTAATGATTAACAAGATGGGGGGAAGGTAAGAAAAATTTCAACTTATTATTGTTTTTTTTTATTGGAAAATGCAAATTTTGAAATCTTTCGTGATGAAAGAATTGAACCTGAGCTTGAATACAAAATGGATCAAGTTTTTGGGGGATGTGCCCAAGGAACCGAAAAGCTTACTCCAGTGGCCGATCCTCCTACAATGGATGATGAAGCATATGTCCCTTCTCCACCCATTAGTTCTCGTCTTGCTCATTCTCCTCATGTATGTGATTATGATGAAGTAGGTTCCAATTTGGGAAATGAATGGGATGTGATGTGGAGTGAACAAAGCCCTTCTTCCCCTAACCCCATATCCACCCCTAATAAGATCAATGATAAAGGAAAAGGAAAAGGGTAATGGAGAGTGGTTCCTTTCAAAGTAACAAGAGTGCAAGGTCTGAAAAAAAAAAGTCTGGAGGGAGTGCTGCCCTAAGTAATAAAATTGATGGAATGATAGAAATAATTGCTGAGAGGAATAGTTCCTCAAAAGAGTTTTAAACTACTATGGTGAATATGATGAATTTTATGAATGTTGCTACACCAAAATATAGTGTAACTGATGCTATGCTAAAATTGTGTTCCATGGATGATTTTGATTCCAGCTCACCTAAATTTTACTATGCTTGTACACTTTTTGAAGATCCACAAAGAAGGACAATCCTTTTAGAATTTTTGGATGATAAGAAAAGAGTTGAATACATTCGGTTTATGTATGCACAAAATGTAGGACACAAGTGATATGTGCTATTAACTTTACTAACTACTTAGAATTACATATGGTAAATTAGGAATTAGATTAAGAATGTTACTGTAGTGTAGACACCCATTTGTGTCTCCCCAAAACCAAACGCGGTGATGAATACTTTTCACGTCGAATCATAATCGAATGAAGTGAAAGTGTGCAAAGTCTAGTATTGCGGTTAGTTTTTATTCTTTTCTTTCTCTCTATTTTCGAAAACATATTTTATGAAAATAGCCAATCCAGTTTAGCTTGGTCCATGGCAAGGGTCCAATAATAGTGTAGTTGGATCGGGTTCGAAAAGAGCTTTCCAATGATATATTATAAGCCCAATTCCGATGAATAATGATGAAGTTATGGCTAAATTACTAAACTGGGCCCGATTTGATCTTTATATGCAGCCAAATGATCTAGAAGAGGGCCTATTATGAATTATCATTCCTAATGCAACTAAGATTGATTATAGTCTTCTAGAATCTTCTAGAGGGTTCTTTTGAATCCTAATGTGATTAGCATTGATAATTGAGTTTTATGAGTTTTATTTAGAATAAAAAAGTGTTTTTTAATGAAATTACAATTTTACCCCCTCGTACGCTTAATTTTATCAAAAATATGAAAACATGTGGAAAATTGCCTGCAGCGCCGCACAACAGACTGTCGCCTGGCGACAAGCCTGTCACACAGCGACAGAGGCAATTGAGGCGCTGCAGTCGTGTTTTATTCTTCTTAAAACTCCGATTCTTTTTTTTATCATATTCCTGCTTATTTTCATTATAAATAGCCTCCTTAAATCTCTGTTTTTAATTACCAACTCTCATCAAGAAAATCTTGATTCTCTCTCTCTCTCTTTCTCTTTTTCTAAACCAACTTTTTACAAACAAAATTCCGCATTCACAAGATCTAGATACACCTAGCATAATTCAAAGTTTTCTTCACCCTAGACGTGAAAAGTTTGATATTTCTGAGGGTTTGGTTCCAAATCTCTATTTCAATTATTTTATTTAATTGTTTTGTTTATATTTTCCTTGAAGTTACTAACGTGTATATTTTGTTATTAGAAAAAGGTACGAGGCATCCAAGTAAGTGCTTTAATTGTCTAATTGATCTTTTGATATAGAAATCATGCTTAGATTGTTATTTTGATTCCTAGTATCATGTTAGGATGTTTTATTGCTTCCTAGTATCATGTTTAGGGTTAATTAATATTTCTAATATCAACTATGATTAAAAGAATGCTTTATATCTTCTTTCCTAATATCATGTTAGTATCATGTTAGGGTTAAAGCTTTGATTTTTATTGTTTAGTGACATGCTAGGGTTTGTTATTAATCTTATTAGTATCATGCCTAGGATCTATCTATTATTATGCTTTAACATGATTATTTACATGATTATTGTGACTATTATTATGATGATTATTATCATGTGGCTTGATATATTTATTGTTATTGCTTGATCACACCTTTTATGCATGTTTAAAGGGAATTTGTACTGCAATCACGCTTAATAAGATAATTAATAATCTTGTTAGGGTTAATTTGATTATAATTCATGTGATCGCCAATAATAGATTTGTTTGTGCATTAATATTCAACCAACATAAATAAATAGGTTTAGGGTTAACCTAATGATTGCATGTTAGTCAGAAAGCGCACATGAATACGAGAAGAATAAAGTAGAGGCCTATTATTAGGCAGGTTCAATCTCTTTTAGGTTGGATTTGTACCATCATCCCCGAACTTCCAGTCTTGGTTCCATACCTATTGGAGTTAAAAATCTCTTGTATCGTTAAAGGGTGTAACCTTCACCCTGTGAACGGTTTACAAGTACCTAAAACTTGTTGGCAACTCTTTTGCTCTAGCTTCCTTCCCTTTGGACGCCACCATGCTTAAGTGCGTGTATGATCACAATGGGGTTCAAGTTTGAGGTAATGCTTGAAGTATTCCCTACATGTAGACACCCAAATGTGTCTTTCCAAACCAAACCCAATGATGATTACCTTTCATGTCATTTGATTATCGAACAAAGCGAAAGTTTGAAAAGTCTAGTGATGAGGATGTTTTTATTAAAAATCTCTCATTCTATTTTCGAAAACCTACCCTATTTATGAAAAACATGCATTCCATTTTATTTTGGTACATGATATTGGTCCAATAATAATGTAGTTGGATGGGGCTTGAAAAAACCTTTCCAACGATATATTATAAGCCTAATGCTGATGAATAATGAGGAAGTTATGGCTAAAATATTTAACTAGGTTCAAACCGGATTTTACCTACGGCCCAATGATCATGTGGAGGATCCAAAGGTTTAATCCTATTCCTAAATTAATTAGAATTAATTATAAGCTTCTATGAGTTCCTAAAATATCTTAATCATCCTTTTTGAAAAGATAAAATCAAAGAATTTGAAGTTGAATAAAACTTTCCTTTTTTTAAATCCTAATTTTATTCGAATTTAAAGATATTCAAAGAAATTCAGATATTATTTTTGTGCCTCATAATCTTTATCCAAATATTATATGGTTGGATAGATCATGAAATTATCTTTCCAATAATATATTATAATATTAATTCCAAGCTATAACGAAATAAATATGAATGGAATACAAAACTCTATCCAAAACTGACATCCTTCCACTATTTCAACCATATCTTTTTATCTACATAATATCTTAATCTGGTTCTAATTGGGTTGGAAATTAGACTTAAATAGATTTTCAACGACATATTATATGACTTATTTAGACTTCTAGATCAAAAGTTATGATAAAAACAAAATCCGCAAAAAAGTTGTCTCAGTGCCAAACGACAAGACTGTCGCCTAGCGACAATACCAGTCGCTTGGCGACGAGCTTGTCGTCTGGTGCTGACTCCTCTCGTTGGCGACCAGAGGTCTTTTATTCCGAATAGGACTCGAACTCTTTTCTATCGTTCCCGTGCTATTTTTTCTAAAAATAGGGGTCGTATCATCCTGTTTTCAAATCATCAACACCCAAAATTATCTTCTCTCTCTCTCTAAAAAGCTAGAAGCTTTCTCTCTCTCTCTCTCTCTTCTTTTTCTAAAACTTCCCTCTCTCAAAATTCCTCATTTATTAGCTCTAGACACACCTATCCAATTTCGAAGTTGCCTTCGCCCTAGACGTGAAAGGTTTGATATTTCTGAGGGTTTGGTCCCAAATCTCTATTTCAATTATATAATTTAATTATTTGATTTATATTTTCCTTGAAGTTACTAACGTGTGTATTTTGTTATTAGAAAGAGGTACGAGGAGTCGAAATAAGTAATTTAATTGTTTTTATTGATCTTTTGATATAGAAATCATGTTAGGGTGTTTTGCTTCACAGTATCATGTTTAGGGTAATAACAAAAATTTCTAATATCAAGTATGTATATTATGATGCTTCCTATTTCTTTCCTAATATCATGTTAGTATCATGTTAAGGCTAAAGCTTTGATTTTTATTTTTTAGTGACATGCTAGGGTTTTTATTAATCTTGTTAGTATCATCCCTAGGATCTTGTTGTTATTATGCTTTGACATGATTATGATAATTCTGATTATTATTATTTTGATGATGATGATTATAGGTATTATTATGATGATTTATTTATATTATTTTTGCTTGATATTATATATTATTATTTTTATTACTTGATCACACCTTTTATGCATGTTTAAAGGGAATTTGTACTTTTAATCACGATTAATAAGATAATTAATAATCTTGTTTAGGGCTAATATGATTATAATTTAAGTGATCTCCAATAATAGTTTCATTTGTGCATTAATGTTCAACCAACATAGATTAAACAGGTTTAGGGTTAACTTATTGATTGCATGTTAGTTAGAAAGCGCACATGAATGCGAGAAAAATAAAGTAGAGTCCTATTATTAGGGCAGATTCAATCTCTTTTAGGTTGGATTTGTACTTTTAACCCCGAACTTCCAGTCATGGTTCCAGACCTATTGGAGTTAACGATCTCCTGGATCATTAAGGGGTGTAACCTTCACCCTATGAACGGTTTACAAGTTCCTAAAATTTGTTGGCGACTCTTTTACTCTAGCTTCCTTCCCTTTGGACGCCACCATGCTTAAGTGTATGGTTATAGTGGGGCTAAAGTGTGGGATGGCTTGAAATATACCCTACATTTTTTTGGCGACTCCACTAAGGAGAATTTCTATTTTAAATCTTGAAATTTATTTTGGCAATGATTTAGAATAAGCGGATGAGACTCAAAAAGTTCTAATTATTTTATGTGCGTAATTTTGATTGACATTATTGGCATAAGCATACAAAGGTTCTCATTGGAAAGACCATCTGTAATGAGTCAAAAACATAGGATTTTTACACGTAAAAATCTAGGAAAATATCTTTCACAACTAAAGTCGAAATAATAATATGAAAAACTGTAAAATTCAAGAATAGAAAGCTGCTGAGGCATCTAGGAATTAACGCTGAGAAAACAGCGTCAGCGCCAAACGATGGCGAAGTCACCTGGCGACAAGCTTGTCGTTTGGAGACAGTGCCAGCGTCTGGTTACCACGCTATTTTCTCGCGCCAAATTCTTCCATTACCGAGCCAGAAATATACCTTCTTGTTTCGACTAGTTTTCTATTACTGTTTGCTCGGTTTTACTTCCTGATTGAGTTTTTTCCTTTTTTTTCTGAAACCCATATGTGTTCTACATATGGCCATAACCCTCTGAGAATTCATGCTCCATCTACCCAATCGAACGCTCCTGGCAACGAAGGGTACACCCAAGATTGTTGAATTCACCAAACCATGGAAGCGAGTTTAACTCGCGGGGTCCCATCCACACGCGCCAATCCTTCCAAAGGTAAGGCTTCCGCACGGTGCATCCAGACTCATAACCATGGACTCATAACTTGTGCATTATTTGTTGTGCATATTTTATATATGTGTTTTCCCTAACCGTTTGTTTGACTTGTGAATGAGTTAAATAAATTAATTAAAGACTAAAGGATTTTGCTTTATTAATTAATTAATTTAAACTAATAAATATGTCTAAAATCGAGTCATAGTTTCTTTGAGTCAACCCGAATTTTTATTCCCGTATACTGCACAAATGTCAACTTGTTTTGGTCATAGCCGGAGTTCTAGAAAGAGTTACAAGTCGTAAAACCTGTGGATCTGTTGCCCCGAGTTTTATCTTTAATTTAGCGTTGGTTTCATCCCAATCAGAGTCACACATAAAAAGTTATGACTAATGTAGGGAATATTTCAAGCATTATCCCAAACTTGAACTCCACTGTGATCATACACTAAAGTACGGTGGCGTCCAAAGGGAAAGAAGATAGAGCAAAAGAGTCGCCAACAAGTTTTAGGAACTTGTAAACCATTCACAGGGTGAAAGTTACACCCCTTAACGATCCAGGAGATCTTCAACTCCAATAGGTCTGGAACCATGACTGGTAGTTCGGGGATAAAGGTACAAATCTAACCTAAAAGAGATTGAACATGCCCTAATAATAGGCCTCTACTTTATTCTGATCGTATTCATGTGCGCTTTCTGACTAACATGCAATCAATAGGATTAACCCTAAACCTGTTTAATCTATGTTGGTTGAATATTAATGCACAAACAAACCTATTATTGGCGGTCACTTGAATTATAATCAAATTAACCCTAAATAAGATTATTAATTATCTTATTAAGCATGATTACAAGTACCAATTCCCTTTAAACATGCATAAAAGGTGTGATCAAGCAATAACAATAAATATCAAACAACATAATTATAATAAAAATAATCAAAATCATAATAATAATCATAATAATGTTAAAGTATAATAATAGCAAGATCCTAGGCATGATACTAACAAGATTAATAACAAACCCTAGCATGTCACTAAACAATAAAGATCAAATATATAGCCCTAACATGATACTATTAGGAAAGATAATAAAGGCATTATAGAAATCAGAATTGACATTATATTCTTTACCCTAAACATGATACTAAGAACTTATTGTTGTCACCCTAAACATCAAATTAAGAAAAACATCCTAACATGATACTAGGAATCATAATAACAACCAAGACATGATTTCTATATCATAATATCAATCAAACAATTAAAGCACTTACTTGGATGCCTCTTACCTCTTTCTTTCACGTCTAGGGCGAAGGCAACTTCGAATTTTGCTAGGTGTGTCTAGTGCTAATGTATAAGGAATTGTGTTTGTAAAAGGGTTGGTTAAGAAAGAATGAGAGAACCAAGAAATTCTTGATGAGAGTTGATTTAGAAAAGAGAGAGAGGGAATAAGCTTTAGCTTAGAGAGAGAAGAGAATTAGAGAGTTCTTTTGATGAAAAACGGAGATTTTAGAAGGCTATTTATAGAGAAAATCAGCCAAACGGATAGAAAACAAATCAGAGTTTCGACAAGGATAAAAGAAGTTAGCGCCAGACGCTGAACATTAGCGCCAGGCGCCAAGCATTAGCGCCAGGCACTAATGTCTGTCGTAAGGCGCTAATTATTATTTTCATGCGTTTTCTTAATTCAGATAAAATTTAGCCGTACAGAAGGGCAAAATCGTATTTTTCTTAAAAACACTCTTTTATTCTGATTAAAAATCTAAAAAGTCAACCGAAGTCAATTTATCAATGCTAATTGAATTAGGAATGAAAAGAACCTTCTAGAAGAATCTAGAAGACTAAAATCAATTCTAATTGCATTAGGAATGATAAATCCATATTAGGCCCTCCTCTAGATCATTGGGCCGCATATAAGTATTAAACCGGGCCCAGTTTAGTAATTTGGCCATAACTTCCTCATTATTCATCGGAATTGGGTTTATAATATATCGTTGGAAAGCTCTTTTCAAGCCCCATCCAATTACACCATTATTGGACCCTTGATATGGACCAACCAAACTAGATTGTCTGTTTTCTTAAAATAGGTTTTCAAAAACAGAGAGAAAATAAAAGAAATTAAAACTATCCGCAACACTAGACTTTCCACACTTTCACTTCATTCGATTATGATTCGACGCGAAAGTTACTAATCACGGGTTTGGTTTTGGGGAGACACAAATGGGTGTTTACTACTAAAATATTACAACTTGTCCAGTTTAATGCACATACATGAGGTCTTAACTTAGTCTTTGTTCAAGTGTAGTCACATAGTCTAGTCACATGGTCATGACACAAGTCTTAACATGTCACCTACACTCACTAGTCTTAGCACACACTTTGTATATACTCTTTTCACACCATGACCATGTTTTAGGTTCATGCATGAGTCATTTCCTGTCATTTGAGTTGATGGTCCATCCCATTTCTATTTCCTTCCATGTTCTCTTCCCATCCATTGCATGTTGAATAGAGCTTGAGTCAAAAATGAAAAACTTACCCCTAATTTTCCTTTTCACAGCACTTGGTCAAGGAGGGAAGGGCGATTAATCAAGGAAAACACCTTTGTTCAAGTGCTACTTTTTGACAAACCAATTAGTCGGAAAAGAAAGGCTAAGAAGATAATGGCGTTTCAGGAAAAAAGTTAATGAACTCAAGAAGGATGTAGCCAACCTAACTGAATTAATGAAGAGTATAGCTCTTCAAGCCAATGACCCTACGAGGCAACAACAAATGGAGCTCATGTAAGAAAGCTTGAGCAAAATATCTAGTGACTATAGATTTCAGGGCATTAGCTCACAAGGGGTCTTAGTTGACAAGGAACTTCTTTCGCAGTAGTTCAATGCCAATGACATCCCTAAGTTAAAGGCAACAGATAATCCTTACTTCCACTTAAGGGCATTTGAGACAACAATGAACATTAAGGGGATAGATAAGAAAATTTTTCATACATTGTTTTCTTTATCACTTATAACCGTTTGTCATCAATGGTTCTTTTCTCTTGATAAAGAGAAAACCTCTACTTGGGATGCTATTGTAAACGCTTTCATTGTTAGATATAAATGTAATATTCAAGTTGAAACCGACTATAGAAAACTTAAGATGCTAAGACAAAAAGAGAATGAATGCTTTACTTCTTTCTTTAATAAGTGGAGGGAAACTTCCGCTAAGGTGATTGAGGTGCCCACCTGTAGACACCTAAAAATGTCTCCCCAAAACCAAACCCGATGATGAACACCTTTCACCGCCATTATTGGTCGGGTTGAGTATTTAATCTTTGGAGTGCTTAAATCCATGTTCAATAAAATATATTTTATGAACCAATCCAATTTCTTTTTTCTTTTCTTTTTTTTTTTTTTTTTTTTTTTTTTTTTTGAGAAAACCAATCCAATTTCTAGCTCATTCCCTAAACCATAACATATTTTCCACTTTTCGTGTCCACATCACAACACTGAGCTGAAATCATTTTATGGATATATATTATTGATCCAATTATTATTTGGTTGTATATGCCTTTTAATAATATTTCCAACCATATATCATAAGCCCAATTCAGAGCTATAACGAAAAAGATATGAGCAAAACACTAAACTCGACTCAAAACCAACACCCTTCTTTTAAAACGGCCATATTTTAAAATATAAAAACGATTTTGACCAGATTCTAATTGAGTTGTAAAGTATAATTGATAAGATTTCCAATGATATATTATATGCCTTATTCCAAGTTACGGATCAAAAGTTATTGCAATTTTAAAAACGTGTAAAAAAAAACCAAAATTACCGCGCACAGTGCAAAAGCACCGTGTCACGGCGCCTGATGACGTGGAACGGTGCCAGATGTCGTGACACGATACTTTACATTGTGTCACGGTGCTATTTTTGAAACTTTTTTACGTCAAATTCCACCGTTTCCGTGGCACGGTACCTGTTTCCGTGAAACGGTGCCTGCTACCGTGACACGGTATTTCTCACCGTGTCACGGTGCTTTTTCCGTGTGATTTCCTTGTTATCCTATACCGTGACACGGTGTACCGTGCCATGGTGGAAACTGCCATGTCACGGTACGTGTGCCGTGTCACGGAATTTTCTCGTGTCTTTTCCGCGTAAACCCTTCACGCGTTTTCACTTCCCGTAGGTCAAATATCTCCCGCGTCGCACTGTTTTCCACCGTTTCATGGGAGTGTGCCCCATATGATGATTCCTGGAACTGTGTCACAGTGTTCTCTGCCATGTCGCGGTGTTAATTTTTAGGGTTTTTATCTTTTTAGGGTTCCGTGTGCTCATTTTCCCTATAAATAGGACCCCCTTTCTGCAGTTCGGGGCACCAAAACCTTCTCTCTTTTACACCAAAAATCATTCTCTTCTATTTATCTCATATTCTAAGCCTCAAACCTGTATTCCTAATTACATCATTCTTCCCCTAAGCACTCCAAGAGTCTATACTTAACCTGAGGTTCCGTCCTTAAACCAAGGCGTGAAAGGTACAAATAACTGAGGGTTTGGACCAAATTAACTCTACTTTTTTATTTAATTTAATTTAATTTATATTTTTTTATTTAAGTTAATAACAGTTTATTCATGATGTAGCAATTTAAAGGAACGCGCGGAATGTGAGCAATTAATCAATTTAATTACTCTTATTTTATTTTTATATTGCTAGTATCATGATTAGGTTATTTATTATTTGATTTGACTAAAGCTATTATTGTTAAACTACTTCCAATAATAATGTTTATTCTATTATATTTATTGATCACCATATTGCATGTTAAAGGGAATATGTAATTGAAAATCACGCCTAATAAGATAATTTGGACAACCGGCTTAGGTTCCTTTTTAATCTTGTTGTTTAATAAAGTGATCACGATATATTAGAATTATATGTTGCATTAATATTAAACCAATTTTGCCTAATAATATATTGGAGTAAATTGAATATTTTATCTGCATGCCTTTGAGATCGCAGGAATCACTTTTCACTATAAGAATCGAGTAGAGGCCAATACGGGCGAATGTGACTCCATGACTCACTTCGTACCATCATCCCCGATCCTCCTTTTGTGGTTCCGAACCATATGGAGTTAGTAATCTCATGGATTATGAATGGGATGTAACCTTCACGGGTCAATCGTTGTCCCTAATTCGTGGTTGCCTTTTATGACCCGTGAACGGTTTACAAGTTCCTTAAAACTTGTTGGTGGCTCCCTACTTTGCTTTGTCCCTAATCGTATTATGTCAATTCCCACTTCTATGAGTGCCAAGAATATTCACACATGCTTTAACGTAGGCGCACTTCGAACGACGCCTACACCACCGAAAAAGAATCTGTAAGGATGTTCATCAAGAACCTTCACGACAAGTATTCGAAGCATTTGAAATATCAACACAACTTTAATATTTTCAAAACCGTTTATGAAATAGGAATTGAAATAGAAGATGACCTCGCAAAGAAAAAAGCTACTAACAATAGCAACAACAGTGGCTAGAAAGGAAAGAAGAACGACAATCCTTCTTCTTCCGAAAATGCCCACTCTAGTAACAATGTTAGTACCTGTGATCTCAATGAAGTCTTAGCCATGGATAATAAAGGGTCTAAAAAGCAACTAAGGAAATATTTCACTCCTATTGGGATGAGCTATGATACTGCCTTCGATCGACTCCATGCCAAGGGACTCATTACTCCCATTGGAACTATTCAAGATCCCGCACCTGAGAAGAGATTGCCTAGTTGGAACCCAGATGCACATTGCAAGTACCATCAAGGTAGGAGTCATACTACTGAGAACTGTTGGAAGCTAAAAGAGGTCATCCAAGATCGATAATAACAAGCTTCCCATACCTCCAGCTAGCAAGAAGACCGAGTAATAATAAGGCATAAGACAAGAGGCGAGCTTCAACGACAAGATTTTGTGACCTCTTTTTTCTATTTCTTTTTCATTCTTGCTTTCCCCAATAAGTCTAGCATAGGCACCCTGCATTTTCCTTAGATTTACTTTGTAGGTTTTTTCTTTTTCCCTTTTAATAAAATGAGCAGTTATTTCCTTGCATATAAACATTACATTGCAAAATAAAAAAAAAAATAACAATGTCGAACTAAGCACAAGGTATACTAATTATTTGAGGCACCCTTTGTAGCCTATCATATCATCTTCACCCTTTCAAATATACAATCTTTTTTTGATAAACCACTTTGAGCCTCACCTAGCGATAGGATTTTCTTTTTTCAACCTACATCTACCTAACCTTGGGATGGGATAGTGTGCAATTTATGAAATTTTCAAAGAATAAAGGCTTGAGTCATTTTATAAAAATTTCAAAAGAATAAAATAGCAATAAAAGTGTGCATAAGGGCAAGTGTTCCAATGTCATTTATATGAACAAGTCTCATATTGCGTCTCTAATCGAGTGCTCGGTACCGTGCCTGAGAAACATGAATTCCAAGTAAGTGATAGACCACATGATCAAGATTGCCCACACTTATCAAAAAAGGTTCAAAATAAAAAAAAATGCAAAAGCAAAAAAAGAAAGCAAAAAAAAAAATAAAAAAAGAAATAGCTCAAAAGTGAGAAACCTCGAGCATAATAATACAAAGATTCAAAAGCAATGTTGCACACCTTGGGGGCTTATCTAGGGTCTTCAGTCCTTATCCCTTTCTTCTTCAACCTTTAGCCTAACCACGTTACAACCCTTAAAAGACCTCTTTTAGGTATACACATACTTGTGCGAGGTTTGGCCTAATTCCTAATGGATACGTAGGCAACCTCACATTGGGGTGCAACCGTAATAAAAATGCATTCATATTTACGTTCATAATTGATCATATCAAGGAGATCTCTTATGCTCATCCTTATGCATTTAGAGATAGACTTGGGGGCTTAATCCCTACATCATTATCTTACCTAGACTAAAGAGTCATCATTATTTAGTTCTTCTCATAATACTTTCTCATACACTTGGCCTTTGCAGCCTAACTTTAGTGTCACTTTCACACACTACACAGATACATGACCAAATATTACTTCCTTTAGGAACCCTTTGTCATGAAATCTTAATATAATGTTGAAGCATGCCTCAACATATGAAGATCATATTTGTCATTGCATCACGAAGTATGAAGTGCTTAGCCTCCGTGCCTAAGTTACCTAAATACTTTCATCCAAAATTAACAATGGAGATAGCCTAGGATGTTACAATCTTCGCGCCCTCAGATTCGACGTTGATCCATACATTTGTTAAAGCTCATTCAACATGCACCTTCAAGACCTTCACTTCCTGTCTTTTTGCGTCTTTCTTTTTCGGGAGAAAGTCGGTACCCTCCACAAAAATGACAGAATTTTTTTGTTTTTCTACATTTTCGAGTCTAATGCACACATAAGTCATGTACATATCGAGTCTCATGAGTCAATACTTTGCACACACAAGTCACAATCGAGTTGAGTCAACCTCGAGTCGGTCAGTCGTATTAAGTTAAGTTTACACCTTGAGTCATGTCAAGCCATGTGTGTCAAAACGCTTTGAGTCGAGTCATGACAAGTTATATGTGTTAAAAACA